CAAAAACAGAAAATTCTTCTTTGCCCATATATGAGATGACATCTATCTATTTCTTATCCTCATTCTACTTTGATCCCCTCCAAGGTTTATTTCTGTATCTCACCAGCAAAAAGTTAACCTCCTCAGTTGAAAACATGTTTGTATGAGCTTTCTGGCAAGCTACTATAAAGATAAATTAAGATCCCTGTCTCTCTTGTCAGTTATCTCCTCCTTTGATTATAAAGGATGCTGTATGTTGGATCTTCCCTGGGAGATTCCAATATTTTGTAAGAATGCTCTTTCAAGAATTAGCATTGATTGATTTATATCCTTCATAAATATTTTTCTGCTCTCTTTTGGGCCTTTCTGCTGCTTGAACCTGAGATTTCAAAGTGGATTTCTGGTAGAATATAAAAGAAAACAACTCTTCTTACCCATATAAGGTGCTCAGACATTTATTTCTTCACGCTTAAGCCAAAATGTTACTGGAATTCAGCTTAAAGCAGTATGGGGGTATATAAGTGATATTTCTATTTCTTCTGTATGAGATGACTGGAAAAGAGAATGCCTTTTTAAAAAAAAGACTACCAGAACATTATATATATATAAAAAAGACTCTGCCAGCAGTAGAGCAAATACTAACATTTTAATAAACAGTATTATCTTTCCTCCAACCACACAGAAGGTGGCCGGAACATTTCAAACCAGTTAACGATTGGTACCAACATTACCAGTGAACATATGGGTCTAAGACAACATGCTCAAGAGCAAGGATGGTGGAATGGTCAAGGAGAGTTCAATTTCACAGAAGTGTTTTCACTCATCCATCAACCTGTCCGCATGGAGGCAGCCAAAGCTCGGTATCGTGCTGGCCAGAAGCTGCTACATCAACACTCAGGTGGGCTTTCAAAATAAATGAAGAGAAGGACGTTGGAGGTCAAATTCATGTGGAAATGGGGATCTGAAGGAATGGTGTCCTCCTGCTTAGGGATACCTTCACCCAACCTTTCTTAAGCTTGTCCTTCAATGCTTCAACTCCTAGAATGCTGATTGAATCAGTCTAGGTGATTTGAAGCCACTTCTGGTACTCTCCACATGTGTGAAATTTCAAGTCAAAGAATTCCCAGCATAATCAATTCTGGGCGTTGAAGTCCAACACATCTGATGGATACCACATTAATGGAAAGGTGCTTCAGCAACACCTAATTCACTCAATCTCAGTTCAGCAAAATACTGGGATGGTGTAGAGGAGCTTTTTCCAATTTTTACCTTCCAGCTTCTATTTTCAATAGGGTTACTGTGAATGGTAATCCTGGGAGTTTAAAGACTTATTTATGTTTGGACATAATTTGAAGTCCATTGCAGTTGGAGGGTTCTTTTGTCTGTGTGTGCAAATATTGTCCTACCCATCTCATCTGTCTGAGGGCACCTGTGAATTCTGCAGTAACAAATGTAAAAAATATTTTGAAAATTAAAATGATGGAACAATAGATGTTCTTCCTCCTTCGGTTTTCATGTATCATTCTTTATCATTGTAGGACAAATTACTGCTGAGACAATTATGTCCATTTTAAGTGACAAAGCCAGTGGGATCTGTGTTGACTCAGAAGGTTTTTGTACCACAGGAAGTATGGTATCCATCCTCCCTCAAAATCCCCTTCTACCTTGTGTCCATTTTTTCACTGCCACCCCGGATCCTTCTAGGTGAGCAGCAGTTATGTATAATGAATCTTCAACTGCACACATAGAGCAAATCTAGACTTTCCTCCCATTCACAAGATCTAAAACAGTAGGCCACCATACATTCTGTTGCCATTACTGCGGATTAATCTTCTGTCTTGGTAGGAAAACTAACAAGTGAGGCTTTTCCTTCTGTTTTAATTTGGTGCAAATTAAGGAAAGTGATTGGTGGATTCTGCAGCTTTTATTCTCTTCCACCTCATGTCACCAGCTAGTGGAAACAACAGTCTTTCTGTTTAACATGGGGTAAGCTGGAGATGGGTGAGCATAGCCATGTACTTAGAATAGCTAGTGTGGCCACAGTCGATTTGTCCAACTTACAGATTGTAGGCATGGAGATGTTCTATGTCTGTTATTTATCTGGCTATTTGTAGTGTTAGGCTTATACTCTTCTGAATGAGCATTAAGCATACGTCCAAAAATAGCTGGCTGACAGGTTTCACCCATGAACACCAGATGAGGCAGGAATAAGTAGCATTTTATTGATACAGGCAGCCAAAAACCTATAATGGACTCATTGGTAACAAAACCAGCATTGCACAGCTGGCAGACCCCAGGTTTTGTTTTTGTATTGAATTTTTTGTATCCCCCCTCCCCCGACCCCAAGTTTATATTGTTCTCTTCAGCACAGCATTCTGGCATTCTGTCTTAAGAGATGTATGCATACTGGGATTCTCACTTAAGAGAACTAGCCCTCCTTGTTTAAATCCGTATTATAAAAACAGTTTTTAACAGTGCTAAACCTGTGTATATTAGGAGGTTGCATAAAGCCCAGCAAGTGCTTTGGAAAAGCACTGGTCAGAAAATAGAGAGGCAAATCCTGATATCCATAGATGGCAGTGCCACAAAACTGGAGAGGGCAAGACTTATTTCCCCAATAACCTGGGCAGATCCCAGTCTCCCATCAGGAATCACATTGTCAATGAAATGTGCAAAATTGTGCCAGGAGAAGAGGAGAATGCCACTTTATAATTGGGACAACATTTATCATGGTGGACTGAAGATGACACAATGTCAGCATGTTATATAAAACTAGTTCCTGGGACACCTTTGTAACTTTGTCTGATATCTCACAGCAATTAGGACTGGAAGCAATGCATCTAAGAAATGAATATCTCTGAGCTCAGATTTGTAAGGTTTCTTAGGAAAAAAATGAGACACCACACGAATTTGAGCAAGTATTTTTACTTTCAAATGAGACATAATTTCCAAAGGCAATTTAAGTCTGCTAGTGTCCAATTTTCTTTCTTCTGCTGTTTTGATGTGATGAAGCAGATGCTGGCCTCTTTTGATGCACCGTTGATTGTTTTGAAAATTTTATTAACCTTCTTATCACTGTGTAAAACAGTTTTCCCAGTCACATGAGAATGAACCTAAGCCTCTTCTTGCCAACCTCAGCTTTTCATAACGCTCCCCTTGAAGTTTCAATAGATGCAAAATATATCTGAACACGTTTGAGCAGCATGTTCTTCGTTACTTCTGGCTGCAGTTGAAAGGAATCGGGCAAATGTAGGAGCAGATGCTGTTCACCTTTTCTAGCCTTAAGCCATTTTTTCTGTACCTCAGATTGCATGCTACATGTGTGAAAAAGAGCAATCTTTCATGTGAAGTTTGGGTTACATAGCTCTAGTCATGCACTGTAATCAAGGACCGCCTGGATTGTATTGTTGTGTTAGTCTCCCACCCCCACCCTGTTCTTGCTCCTGTTCATGCTTTAGAGATTTTAAATTTTTAAATTAAATTAATAGAGAGCCTGCTTTTTGAATATCACACTAATGGCTTCCCTTTCCTCTTCTTGGCAGGTCTATCTTCAAACCATTTGTCTTTGTTCCCAATGTTACTCCCTTCCCTCAGGTGAAGTCTCCAAGTTTTGGTGAAAAAGACCCCATTAGGGAGACTCCAAGATTTCAAAGTCGAGTGGACCGTCGACACAATCTCTACAAGCAACATCAGTTAGCCTTGGAAGTTACAGATTGTAATCAGGTGAACTTCCAGTTATGTTGTGCAGCCCTCATAATTTTAAACTGTCAGGCTTTATTTCTCCTAGAAGCCACTAATGGATGGAATTGGCAGGAATTCAAATGTTAGCTAGAAAGAAAAGGTAGGAGCTGATGGGTTATGAAACAGAGGGCCCCGAAATGCTCTCCTGTTGAGTACATTTAAGCAGAAATCGGGTTGGCATTCTGTTAATTGCATCATGCTTTGTAGAACTAGCTTTGACCAAATAATCTTTTCACAATCCCATCTATGTTTTTGATAATTTGCTTCAAATAGCTTAAGGAACTGAGATGGAAGTCCTTGTGGAACTTTATAGTTGTCTTCAAGACTAACAAATTTAGTGTGACATAAGCAGTCAGATTTTTTAGTTGCAACAACCAATCCATAGACACAAAGCCTTCTGGCTCAGGTTAGGATAACTTGCTAGCTGTTCTCAGAGAACTGTCCACATGCTACTGCCTCTATCTCATTGTCCATTTGCAGCTGAAGTTGCCCTTAAATAGCTTTAGGCACTACTGAGAAACTTAAAAGGAATCATCTTTGAAATTGCTCTATTTTATCTTAAATACCTAAAAAAAACCTATGTTTCTATTAGGAAATACTATCAGTTAAAATAGAGCAGAAAGAGCTAACTAATTTTCCCCCTCTTGATAAAGTTCTGAACATTAGACCAGCAGGAGGGAATACACTTGCAACTTAGAAGTAGAGATGAATTTAAGTAAGTCTTTTAATTTGCTTTGTATTGCTTTTCCATATAATGTCTATTGTTTTTAGTTTGTTCACCTTCTATTCTGTTGTTTTACTTGAGATTTTAAATTAGTATGGATGAGGATTTGGACCTACTCCCTGTAGCGCATTGCATTCTCCTGGCATTTTTTGCCAGCTTTTGAATTTGCTTTTGGAGTTCATCTCCTCCAATTTTCATCAGGCAAAGCAATGCTATAATTAAAAACAGCATCTTATGAATTTCTGTTCATATACCATCATTTCTCTCCTTCATTCCCAGCTTGAACAGCAGAAACTGCAGGAGGCTATGAAAACATTTCAGCAGCAAGTTCTGGAAAGTGTGAAAAGTATGTCAACAGGCTCTGTCCCTGTGAAACCCCAGGAGTTGGCTGGGCTCTTTTGCAATTCTGTGGATGCAGAACTCAAACTGTATAAGTGATATAGTGATATAATGGCCAGGTGGGTTGAGTCTTATTCCTTGTGCTACTGACAAATAGTCTGAATTTTTCTTCTTCTTAGGGTATACCTATAAAGGATTCTGAGCCAGTCTAAAAGCATATCATGTTCTCTGGGTGTCATGTCAGTAATAGTGAATAGCTGAATTTATTTCTTCTCTTCATTGTTGTATAGATGTAGCTGGAGCCAAAGCTAAGGTTTCTTTATTTTATGAATTTCTATTTCCTCTGTGAAAGGAATATTTGTTTTCAGATGGCTCTCAGCTCTTGAGCTTTAGGGTAAGCTAACTTCTGTTCCTGTTCTCAGCATTTCAAATAAGCTTACTTTTATTTAAACATACTGTTTATGTTTGCCCCTAACTCAAAGGTATTTCATTTATAAACAAGTCCCAACACAGATCCTTGAAGAACTTCACCTCCCATTTATTCCTAGTCATTTCTTTCTGCCTTTAGTTTGCAGTCCATAAAAGGGCAGATTATTTTACTCCACGTCTGCTAAATTTACTCAGCTTTTCATAAGTGTTGTTGAAACTGTCAACTCTAGAAGGTTTGTGAAAGAGGTTTTATCTGTGGAATCTGTGCAGATTTTCCTTCTGTAAGATTTTTTTCTATGTGTCAAATTATTTATTGCTTAATTGTTTTTCTTTAATTACATGCCTACCAATTTGCCTGAAACAGATGTTAAGTGACAGACATATAATTTATGGGATATCCCTGGGTTCCTTTTAAAGATTGGTATCACATTTGATTACTTTCAGTCCTCTGACCGTGTAATTGATTTAAAGAAAAACTTACTTATTGCCTTTATGTTGCTGGGGGATGGAGGAATGAAAACTATAATGGTAGTGCCCTTAGATTATAATTATGTACTAAGTTCTGGAAATTACAGCCATTGGCATGAGTACAAGATTCTGTCCAGTGTGATGGGTTTTAACTTTTTAGGAATTGTAAGGATACCTTTATTGCAACCTATGTTTTATTAATTTTTTACAAGGTAGTGATCGTTTTTTGTATCCTCACTTTGGGCTGATGTTATAATTAGAAAGTGGGTTAGGTAGGAAAAATTAAAAGAGCTATGATAACTAAAAATAGAACATCTCTGCAGATAATCTAATAGACACATTTTGTTTTGTTATGTGAGACTTCCTTGAGATTTGTCCACTCAAGTAGCCTTTTGAATTCCTATGAATCTGTGTGACATCTGGGGACTCATAAATATCAAGGATGGAAACAACATTTACAGTATCAGTTTTGGGAGGCTAAGGCCATTTAACTTTAGGAGACAAACAAGGAATGACATTGTATGTATTATACAACATAATTGTGTACATTGAATGAATTATTTATGTCTTGTGTATAATGACATCAGGATGCATGTGATGTCACTGTGGCCCTTATGCTGCAGATGGGATCATGTTGCAAATGAATAGGACTAAGGCGAAAAATCTAACAAGCCCCTCCCCTTTTTCTCAGTAGTTTCTTGCAAGTTATGGTACAAGACTACTCATTTTTCTACTTTTCTGACTGGCAATCATATTTCCCCCACCTCCTCCAGCATTTATTTATCTTGCTTATTTAAAAAATGGACAGTGCTTCACAAATGAAGTATATTTTTTTGATAAAAGTATTATGTAAGTAATGTTTCAACAAAAATCATTTTCTTATATTCTTGTTTGCAGTTTTAGCTGCACTAGATATTTTTCCTTTTGATATTTTTTGCTGAGTTGTGCCTTCATTTTTTTCCTTTGGAATATTCAGTCCTGCATCAACTGCTGGATTCACTGTTCTTTGTGGTGGATTCAAAACTGTATGGTTCTCAGTTTGAGGTAAATTGTTTAGAACTGGAGATCTTGATTCTGGTAAACTTAGGAGTTCAGTTCTACCTTCACTGGTATTGAACACAAGCTGCGTCAGATTCTGTCGTTGTCTCAGCTCTTCTAGACGGGCTTCGTGTTCCCTCATTGCTGTCTCTCTCCGCCAGGCTGAGCGGCTACTGAATTCATTATGGACATCAACAAAGAAGTCTAGCAAAAAAAACCAGAATTAGGATAAAGTTGCAGTCCCCATAATCCATTCATTAAAAAAAATACGTAGCTGTTTTCAGCAAATTTGCATAGAATTGTAGAATGCAAATTATTTTTGTTAACATGGATACACATAAGCCAGAGGGTCAGGCTCAAGGTATAGATTGAGCTAAAAGCACAGAATGTTTCTTCACTGAGTGCTGACTTGTTGAGTTTTGGGTTATATAACTGGGACATCTACTAGAGAAATCATGGCAGTCTTGAGTAAATATCAGCTCAGCCAGGAAGCTGCTCAAAGTCTATTGTTATCTCTTATTTTAAGAATAACAGGTTTAATCAAAATATTAAACATAATATAAATATAATTAAATACAATTATCAGTTTTTAAACAAAGATTAATATTTAGCAATTCCTTTTTATCTCTATTTTGGAAATAAAAGAGGTTCCTTGGTGAACATAAATGTCACTATAATTCAGGGATCCCCAACCTTTTTGATGCCGCGGCCCGGTACCAGCATCAGCTGGGCGCCGCGGCCCGGTACCGGCATCAACTGGGCGCCGCCATCTTTTTTTGATGAAAAAGTGCTTCCGGTGAGCTTTCTACCCGGAAAAGCTCACCGGAAGCACTTTTTTTACCAAAAAAAGATGGCGGCGCCCAGCAACCAGCGGCCCGGTAAGAGTTGTTCCACGGCCCGGTATCGGTCCGCGGCCCGGCGGTTGGGGACCCCTGCTATAATTGATAATAATGACTATATTTGTAATGTGCTTTTTTACTGTGCATAATATTTATTTCCTGTGTACTATTGCTTTTAACCAGTGTTTCCATGGTTTCCCCCTTTGTTTGATATTTCCATTGTTCTTATGAGGTAAGTTAGGTTGAGAATGAATGACCTTAAGATTAGGAAACATGAAGGGAATCTGTATTTCTTGATGCTTCAATATTAACCATTTCAAGATAACTTATCTTCAGAAGTATTTTTTCATTGCAGAACTGAAAATCTTTGCTTCCACGTTGATCTAATACCCCAAATCTGGCCCTGCAATTGGAATACCTTTTTCTGTGCTCAGTGGCTCAAAGAGCTCTGGACAGTCCTCATAATCACTCTCTTCTGAGCTATTTTCCTCCTCTTCATTGTTTTGGAGTATGACTTTCTGCTTTGAGATGCCTTTGTTGTCCAGTTCTATCAGATGAGGCAGAGCTGCTAACACACACTCTCTAGAAATGGAAATACACGGCTGATGAAGTTGAAAATAAAAGTTTATCTCTGTGCTCTCCTCTTTGGTGATTAATGAAAGTAGGAGGCAAGATCTTTTACAATTGTGTTTTTGTTCTATTTTAAATGAAACTGATGATATAAGTTACACCATGTTTCTGGACATTGGCAAAGTGTGGCCTTCAACTTCCAGAATTACCCAGCCAACCATTGTGCCTCATTTCCCATGTTCCTAATGGATTTAGAACAGCCTGTTTGCTTTATTCTATGATGTTGCAGTGGCCTTAGTGATGGGGTGCTACCTTCCCGAACTTAATACCTTCCAGATAGTAGTTCTGACGCTGGCTGGGATAAAGGAAGTTCCAGATTCAGCTTGAAGGACAATGTTAGAAAAGGTAATTACAGGATGAGTTATTATGAATCAGTATGATTTGCTTTCCTGGTTTTACCTGTAGCCTTTTCGAGTCATGCATTTATTTCCAGTCAGGTCAAGGATGGCAAGGTTCAGGGGCAACTCATCTATATAAACCAGAAGGTGTAAATAAGGAAACTGGTAGGAATGCAAATGGATAGAGATTGATACATAATTTTTTGGACATGCATGGGGCTGGTTCATGTTTTTATGAACTATTATCAAACAACTATTTGCAAATATTTATTATTTTATTAAATTGCTAAATAAATACTTCACATATCTGATTTAATACTACAAAGTGAAAGGCTGAATTTCAACAATATAGTGTTTTACAATATAATATTAGTATAGTATTAGTATTAGTATTAGTATTAGTATTAGTATTAGTATTAGTATTAGTATAGTATAGTATAGTATAGTATAGTATAGTATAGTATAGTATAGTATAGTATAGTATAGTATAGTATAGTATAGTATAGTATAGTATAGTATAGTAGTGGTTCATATAATATTTTCACAACCAATGGAGGAATATAAGAATTGATCAACATTGTTTGATCCAATTCTGTTAGTTGTAGAACAGACCTGGGCATTTTATGGCCCCTGAACAACATTCAGCCCTTTGACTGTCCAGCCTGTGTGAGATTAGTTGAAAATTAGAAATCAAATGTCAATAAGTGTGCAATATGCACACAAATCAGCAGAATTAAATTCAGCCTATTAGTTCAGCTCTCCACAGTAGCCTCAGTTTCTCATGTAACCCCCTTGGGAATATTAATTGCCCACCCCTTTAGTAAAGGCTATAGCTCATAATTCAGATGGTTGATAATTAATGGTTATTGAGTTATATTTCCAACATACCAGGAAAACACAAGTTTGAGAATGGCTGGTATAGATGGCAAAGATGAACAGAGGAATAGACAGACTAACCTATGTCTAAAGTATCAATACAATTCTGTGAAAGATCCAGAAATTTCAACTTGAGGAGAGGTTGGAGGTTCTCTATTTTGTTGATGCAATTCCCAGATAATGATAGAAACCTGGAATCATATAAGAAGGCAAGATATTGAAATTGCAAAATCCTTAAGATAATAGTAACACACTACCTTTCAGAAGAAGGGAAATATACTGAAGCCATGATACATTAATGGGTGATGACATCATAAAACATGCAATCTATTTCTTACCACCAGATAGAGTTACAATCCAACATTCAAATGAGTGTTTCATTACCTGTCAGGGCTGGAAATCAACTACAAGTTTTTTATTCTCATTTATGAATCCCTCTTTTAAAATTGGTCTCGTTCTCACTGAAGTGATAAGTATATTTCATTCATGTAAAAAATTACCAAGTGAAAAATAATGTAAAACTATGTTAGTTTTTTATACTGAATACTTTTTAATTTAGGGATGATCCCATCTGCAGTTGTAATATTACATACTAGACATAGGCCTTTTATTCTTAAGATAAACAAGCCTAGAGAAGAGTGGGTGGCTTTTGGGTACTGAAGCTAATTCTACTTCAATTGTTACATACTCACAACACACACAACCCTCTCAGTGGTTTAGCTGCAGGTTAGTTCTCTAAAACTGTTATACAAAAAACTAATTATCTGATTTAGCAGACAGGAAAAGCAGGTGGAACTATATGATATGTAGACATAGCTATTCTTATATTTATATATGATAATTTATTTTTATGCCACTCATTTCCCCTGTAAGGTGACTCTGGGTGGCTTATAGGTTATAAAACAAGTAGAAAAATAATTAAAACTATACAAATTAAAATTTAAAAAACTATACTGAAACCAGAACTAAGAAGCAGACAGGATGGGTTGAAGTCTTAGCCTGTCAACCATTTCCCTCAGGGTCTCAGGTCAACCAGCAACGTCAATTTAATACCTTTCAGAAGGCCAAAAGGGTGAGAGTGTTCTCACCTCTGATGGTAGAATCTTCCACAAAAATTAGGCCATGATAGAAAAGACTATTCTCCTTGGACCTGCCTGCTGGAATTTCTTAGCAGATGGGATCCATAGCAGGCTTCTTCCTTTGGCGCAAGTGGGGCAGGCTAGTCTCATTGGGAGAGATGGCTCCTTAAATACTCTGGACCCATGTCATATAGGGCTTTAAAAGTAACAACCAACATCTTGAACTGGTTCCAGAAACAAATTGGTAACCAATGCAGCTCACACAATAATGATGTTATGTGTGGGGCCTAGAAGCTTTCAGGACCGCGTGCCACTACTTTCTGCATCTGCAGTTTCCAAATACTACTTAAGGATAGCCCCATTAGAGCATGTTGCAGTAATCCAGCTGACAAATGACTAGGGCATGAGTGACTATGCACAGGGCCGCATAATCCAGGTAAAGGAAATGGTACAATGCAAAATTGTGCAAAGGCCTACCAAATTATGATTGGTGCCTGCTCTTTGATCAGGAGACATGGAACTAGGAAGACCCCCAAGTTCTGTCCCAGATCTGCCTGGGGTAGTATAACCCCATCCAGAGTTAATGATAAGCAACAGGTGTGATTTGTTTGAAGCATTTAATCTATTGCTATCATTTGATGTATATATTTTATCATAATTTATTTTATCACAGCTACTTGGACACAGTTTAATGCACACTGAATTGTTTTACTTTCATACAAACTAAGGACAATTTTCCAGCTTCCCTTTTTAATGATTTAAATCATGTAAATTAAATATATACTTACTTTAAGTTTGGAAAGCAGTTTAAGTTTTCAATTTTCTTTATTTGATTCTAAAAATGAAAATAGTGCAAGTCTCAGCACGTTAATAAATGCAGGAAAGGCATTTGGAAAGATTAATTTACTGTATATGAATATGTGTGTGGATTTTGAAAAGGAGTCTTTCTCCTAACTATTAGGTCTCTGTGGAGTCCTTAAGATCCCTGGGTAGTACTGTTTTATCTATAAAATCACCAGGGCTGTCATCCCAAACACCTGAAAAACAAGAAAGTTGGACACGTAGATCTATTTGTGGACATCTCTGAAGCCTATTTTCCTGATGCATTTTACTGCTGTAACCTTGTAAAACATTATAAGAAATACTATTAAGAATGGCAGATTATCTTTATTTTGGAAAGACCAAATCCAATATGCATCCAAGAAAAATATTTTGTCCTTCATATTGGATTTAGTATTTGCTTTAAAAGTAATAAAATTAGCACCAAACCAAATTCTAATTCATCCTATCAAGATATCTAGATTCCTTATTTATGAATTCTGCTAAATATTATTTTTTGTGTACATCTTCAGTAGTCTAACAACAACGAAAATAGGCAAGATACCAAGCACATAAATCATGTTAAAACAGTGATCTGTCACTACTTCCAGGACTTGTGTGTGTGTGTGTGTGTGTGTGTATACACTTTCAGACCCTGAAATCTTGAAATCTGAAATATTTTTTAAAACAGGCTTCTCTAATCCAGTGCTCCAATTATGATGGACAGTTGCTATCATTCCCAACCAATGTAAGCTATGTCACTTTTTTCAAAGGGAGTTGGGATGCAGCTAGTGGTACATACCAACAGCGAAGATTCATGCTTCAGATGCCAAGAAAGAAAGAAAGAAAGAAAGAAAGAAAGAAAGAAAGAAAGAAAGAAAGAAAGAAGATTGCCTTTCAAAGATAGCGCTGCATTCAGTAGCAAAGAATGTGGCAGAGTGTGTTACCTGTTGTAAATAGAGGCTGTGGACATGTTTTAATTCTGGCAGGTTGTCAATGCAGCTAATTCTCTCCCTATCTAGCCGTAGGACCTGTAGAGAAGTCAAGGCTTCAGATCTGGAATTGGAGAGATGTTTTCCAGTCACAAACATTATACCTCTTCTCCTTTCCACCTTTCTCATGCCTGCCAAAAGTATTACCAGAACCTGAAAGTTTCGTATTAATTTAAATAGTAGCTGGAATACTCACATTGTCTCTGGATCCTCTTTCTCCACTGGTACTGGTATGTTCCTCTGGACAATAAGAGATTTTGTCAAGCATACCCCTTCAGTGGGGGGTTGTAAATTAGCTGAAAACAAATAAACAAAGGATTCTAGTTTATCTAGATTTAAATCAGTATATCAGCTAAAACAACTGAAATGATAAAAGCAAACCTTGTTATTGTAAAGGTTCATCAGGAAGAAAAAAAACCTCTCAAAGAAAATAAAAGATAATATATTTCCAGAATATATCAAGAAGGAAGAAGAAGATTCTTAATTTTATATAGAATATTGTTTCCTGGCTACAGTTCTACTTATAGATTGTATTATATAGTTTATTTGCCAAAATGTTGTTATTCTTACTGCTGGAAAAAACTACCTGAGACATGATTACTTTTAATAAGAGTTAATCATAGTTAAAGTAAACCCATTGAAATGAATGGGATAAATTAACTGTGATTAGTGTAAGTCCCACTGATTTCAATCAGCCCATGTTAAGAGAATAAATCTTATAGGAAGTATATAATGCAGGGGTCTCAAACTCACAGGTTGCGGGCTGGATGCATCTCATGCTGGCCCTACCCGGTTTAGCGAAGGGGGGGGAAGTCCTAATACGTCATATGATACTGCCGCAATGATGCGAGTTTAACACCCCTGATATAATGGATGAGTAATTTTATCTACCAAACAACAACAAAATGATTTTCAAAAGTCAATATGTAGTCCTCAACTTACAGCAGCTCATTTTGTGACTGTTTGAAGTTGCACTAAAAAAATGGTCATGTGATAAAAATTCAGATGCATGGTGAGTCTTATTTATGACCGTTGCAGTATCGTGTTATCCCCCTTTGCGACTGACAAGCAAAAGCAAGGGGGGAGCCAGATACACTTTGAATTGTATTGCTAACTTAACAACTGCAGGGATTCACTTAACAACTGTGGCAAGAAAGGTCATAAAATGGGAAAGCGGTCAATTAACAATTGTCTCACTTAGCAATAGAAAGTTTGATTTAATGAATGTGGATTTAATGAATGTGGATATTTAATTTGTGTGTAGCCTTGATTTTGTTTCTTAGTGGCAAACAGAAAGGGGCCTAGAACTCATATGACTGCATATGACTTGCATAATGAAGTTTGCATAATTTCCTAATCAAAACCCGGTGTCTACTCATTAAAAATGTTGAAAGATTTGAAGCTTTTTTTTTTTCTTACTTTGAATCAAATGTGAACTATTCAGATTTCTGACTGGTGAATGAAGTTTTCAGCCATACATATACTGTTCAATGAAAATATGGAAATATGGTTATTATTGTTATTTTTGTTGCACCCACCCAAAGCTTGAGCTAAACAGTCTTATAAATCCAAACAGACAGAATCTAAATTAAACAATCCCTTTTATTCTTGAATCTTAGCAAGACCCCTCTCAGTAAAATCTCAGGCTATTAGCTACATATGATTTTTGTGCCCTTTCATGAAGTCTGTTGTGTAGTAAGATCACAATGTGATTATAAAGCATTATTGTTCAGAGATTTAGTATTTTAGGGACATTAACTATTCCTTAGCTCTCCACTTTCCTGCCATACTGGACAGATCAACAATTGTTATTTCTATTACAATACAATATGCTAGCAACTACTCAAGATTTTGGATCTTTCACACATCATACCACATATTACAGAGAAGACAGACTTCTGTGTGTCTTCTTGGTTTTTTTCTCTTGCATTCAGGCATTAGCAAAGGACTTCCCTTCTTGTAAGAATTTCTTCTCTATGATTTGTTCCTTATTCAGAACAAAGCACCAGACTTCGTAATTCAATGTTAAAATGTTTATTTAATGCACAAGTTAGGAACCTTCAGTACCATGCTGGGAGTGCAACACACTTTTTACAGTCAGGTATAAATACAGTTATTATAAAGGGCAGTACTTCATTTCAGAAAACTGACCTTTAGATTTATTTAATTATTTTCTTGGTTTGGTCTTGAATTTTCCTTTGAAAAACAAAGTTATACACAATTTTTTTTTGTCCTTGAGATTTAGAAAATAATTTGTTCCTTTTTAAGTTTATTTTCCCCAAGAAACTATAGTCACTATAAATATAAACAATTAGTTTGCACATGCCTAATTCTAAAATTCTCAATTTTTATTTTCTTAATAAGACATAGCCTGATTTTTCACTTTCTAATTGGCACACCTTATCTCCTTTGCTTCTCATTCCATTCTTCCCTAACAGTGACCCTACAATGATGAAACATTAACTTTTATTTATTTTACTATTTTATTGAATTGTTGCAGCTCAGAGTCATTTTCTGTGAGATGGGCGGCCAAGTGAACTGGATTACTAAATAAACAAACTTTCTAAAATGGTGATACAGTAGTTCAGTTCTCTTAAGAATTACTTTTCATTACCTTGAACTTTTTAAGATACTTTCGAAGTGGAGGCCTTACCTCCTGCCATGACTGATGAATCTTCCTGATGCCCCAAAATGAATATCTGTCTCTTAGAAAAGAGACCGGGAAGCTACAGTTTCAGAATCTTCATGGAAACGGCCCACAGCTAGTAAAGGGAGGGGGCAAGAATTACCATAACAATCCCTTGCATTTACTTAGCAGCCGAAGAATGCAGCCATAGCAGCATTCAAAAGTCTTTGTGGGTCCCCCCCCCCCCCCCCCCCCCCCCCCCCCAAAAAAAAAAAAAAAACACTAGTCAGGGAGATTCAATTGCTTATAGCAGCAACTTGGAAGGAGAATTTGTAAGGATTCCTTATGGGTGTTCACTCTAGTGCTGTGACCTTGGCAACATCTATGGCAGTATTTCTCAACGGCAGTCACTTTAAGAAGTATGGACTTCAGCTCCCAGAATTCCTCAACCACTCATGCTGTGGCTGAGGTACTCTGGGAGTTGAAGTTCACACATCTTAAAGTGGCTGAGGTTAAAAAATACCGATCTAGGATGAAATGGGCTTATCTCATCTTTTTTTTTTTTAATACAAACGTTGTGGTACCTCTGCCTCTTTCTACGGGTGCCACTAGCAACCCCTAGGGGTTACCATATCTGCGGAAAGCAAAGAAGTCTTTCTGTATCTCTTTCCAGTCATCAAGTCCTCGGAGAGAGAAAGAGGGGGAAACTTGAGGAAGGGTTGATCACGAGACGACTTCTCGAGCCTTCGTTGCCAGGAGATGACAAGTTTTTTTTTCTTTTATGGCTGAGAGAAAAGGGATCCTTCCCCTTTAAATCCCCACTCCCGTGATGCTCTATTCTGGCATCCACGTTTTTTGGAAATGGCTGCTGTTGGCGGTTGGGGTATAAGGATATGTAAAACCGGTAAGGGAAAATGAAAAATAGAAGGGCTTTTCTGCCTCCGGAAATTATTATCCATATTATGGCTTGTAAATCACTTTATCTGCTATGCTCGTCTTCTGTGTCAACAAGAGAGCACTACAGCTCTCCCGGTTGAAATTCAGCCTGAATCATTCTTTCTTTGCCGATCTTTCGCCCACGTCGCAAAAATCCTAACTTTTCGTAAATTTTGGGCTGACACAGTTTCAGATTATTCAGCTATTCATACCTCGGTAAAGCAGGGGAAATGGGGTAACGAGGAGCTTTTGACACTGGCTCGTCTCCTGTAATTGATGGGAGTATTGGTGTTGAGTCTTTTGGGGGACAAAATCGCTTCCCCCCCGCCAGCAGATTTTAATATTGTGAAATACTTAAATAATTATGTAGATAATATTGTGTATAATGCTGTATGGTGCACTAGTTATGGGTAAAGTATCCAAAATAAAGTTTTTTAATTGTAAAAAGTACGTTGAGCTTCCTTTTATGATAGTTAATACCTAAGGTAAACAATTGTTAAAGAGTTTTGCTCCTTTCAATAAATTATCCATTGATTTATAGATTCCACACTTTTAATATTTTATCTATATACAAACAATGATTAGTATGCTCTCCCACCCAAACATAAAACAACTACTTCTCCAATAATTTCTTAATAATTATAAAAAGCATGCAAGTAGTTTTTATTTAATTGTCCTACTGAAAATGAAATTTGTGGGAGTTTCAATGGATGGATGGAGGCATTCAAAGCAATTTCTTTGGTATTAGTTGGTTTTTAAAAAGTTTTGTTTTATTGCCACATAGAACTTTATAAATATTTCTTATATTCTCTTTTCCTATTTACCTTCTAAGCTAAACAGTTTAAATTGTATAAATACATTGTATGAATATTTGTTTTAGATTTAAGAGACTTTCTCTCATTTTTATGCCTTTTATGTACAGTAGTACTCAATGTACAACACTTTGTTTAGTAAACTGTTCAAAGTTACAACGGCACTAAAAAAGTGACTTATGAATACTTTTGACGCTTATGACCTTTGCAGCATCCCCATAGTCACGTGATCTAAATTCAAACACTTGTCAACTGACTCATATTTATGACTGTTGCAGTGTCCCAGGGCCACCTGACCACCTTTTGTGACCTGACAAACGAAGTCAAAGGGGAAACCAGATTCACTTAACAATTGTATTATTAATTTAACAATTACGTGTTTCATTTAAAAACTGGCAAGAAAGGTTGTAAATTGGATAAAATTCACTTAACATATGTTTTGTTTAACAGCAGAAATTTTGGGCACAATTGTGCTCCTAAGTTGAGAATACCTGTATTTGTTTTCCAAGACAATTATATACTTTAAAAAGGAAGTACAAGTGATATATCTAAAATCATGATGGATTTATTTAATAATGGTATGATGCTTGTTATTCTTTGTATAAATAATTCCTGAAAGTTTTCTTTATTGAGGATACTTCAGGATGACAGAAACCAAATTTGGATTTATCTTTTAGATGGATTTCATAGGCAAATTCTAACCAGTACTATTAATCAGTCTAAAATTTAGTACCCTTGATACTCATTACTAAGCCTAAATATCTTAAGAAGGCTTCAGTGTGAGGAGTTATGATTATCAAGAATATTCTTGATGGCTTTATGATTAAAAAATATTCATCATTTATATAAATTGATCTGTACATTTCTGGACTCTTCATTTTCTGTAATACTAGGATCCTTTGATTCTTCCTTATGAAGTTGTTGCCTTGGAAATGGTGGTCATATAAGAGCCCACTTGTCTACATTTGCAATTTGTACTGTAATCTAATTCTCCTGTTGCTCTATTGGTCTAGACTGGCTGCCCACCTTGCAGCTTATCCGTCATGGCTCCAAATCTGTCACACGTCACTGGAAACCGATGCATATTATGAGACAAAAGCTGATGGCAGTGACTGAGTACATCCCACCAAAACCTCTGACTTCAGAGACCTGTATGAAACCCCATGTCATTCTTCCTAAAGAAGTAATAACATTCTACTATTTTGGGATGGTTGGAATGATATAAATACTCATTTTGATTAAAATTCTTGAAAAGCTTTTTATATTTTGCCCTTCATAGTTCTGCCAATTGTGAAAGGGTTCATATAATTTCTGTTCTGTAATAGATAGCCACATTATTCTAATAATGACTTAAGTATTTGATGCTATGCTCCCTCCTGACCTTTGGGAGGTAGTTAATTTGTGCTGCTCTTCAACTGTAAAGCCAAAAATAACTTCCCTTCACATCCTTGGTTATGCTCCACTAAAATCAGAATCTAGCTGTGGCTATTCTACTCAGTTGTCTGAATTTAAATACTTTCCTCATAACTGTTGGCTTTCTTGGTGTTTATTCAATTTGTTTTATGGAATTTTTCATTTATATAAAATTGGATACATGGCTTTATCGTTTAAGATATAAGCAGAATTGTGGATCAGAGATGAATAATAGAAATAACCCTATAATGCTGATAGTTGGCATTCAGATAATTTATTGAAACTAACTTGCACTGATGACTCATCAAAAATAACCAATTTTTGAACAATTATAAAGTTATACAATTGCCTTGACAAACAGCTAAATTATACTAGTATTGTAAAGCAGAATTCAGTAAACTGAATATCTCAATTTTACTTCTATTTTGATTATGGAAGAAAGACTGAATTTGTTTTGCTCAAAAACAAAAGCATTTATATATCATATTACCATCCAGATAGAAATTCTTCTTTCCTTTGTGATGGAATGACAGATGAATCCTTGCTGATTTGAGCCGCTTGATTTGTATTTGTTTGGTTTAATCTTACGTGATTACACAAAGTGTGTATTTTCCCACCTCCATAATAGTGGGAGAATGTTCTTGGATATGTTATTTAATTTTCAGATAGCAATAATTCTAATGGAACTTGTTTAAATCAAGCTTCGAGGCCTTGCTAAGTTTGGACAGAGTTTGAAATAGCATACACTTAAGTAGATTGATAAGTTCATTTAATTAATATCACAGAAAGAAAAAGCTAATTAAGTAAAACATAAATATTATAATTTGCTTCTGAAGAAGTATGAATGGTTGTTATAATTAGAAAAACATTTTATTTTATTTTTATTGGTATCCTGCTTTTATTTTTATTGGTATCCTGCTTTTATTATTTTTACAAAGAACTGAAGGCAGCCATTCAACACAAATTCCTCCTCTAATTTTCTCCACAACAACAACTCTGTGAGATGAATTGGGCTGAGAGAGAATAACCATTTTACCTTGGTGAATAAATCAGAATTTGTTTCTGAAATCCACTGATATTTTGTAGTTATGAATATAATCTAGAGTTTTTATTGTCTGTATTTTCAAGATTGCAAATCCATTTTTCTCTCATGCAGGAGACTGGCTATGAAAGACTATTATTGCGTCAAGTGAAACAAATATTTCTTGAGAATAAAATGATTGTTGTGTGCCAATACAATTATATTCCTGGAAATGATATGGTATTATTCAGGCATCGGCTGCGAAAATACGATGTCCATGTTAAATTTTTTCCCAATAAGGTACAGTTTTCTGTATTAATAGACTTCCAGAAATACAGTGTTGTAATCATGCTGTATGTTAAAAGTTTTTTTTCTTCTGCTCTCTTTAATATTTTGCTTTCCCAAAAGGATCAGCCAATGAATTCTAATTTTTAAAGAAGTTTTATAGAAAAAAATGTCCCAAGGGAACTTATCCTGTTCTTTGCCAAATACATTGTCAATGACTTATCAGATGATAATTTAACTGATAAATAGCACAGATTATATGGTTGTATAATTTTATCTCTTAACTCTTGTTGCTTTGTTATTCTTGGTGCCTCCTTCATCTTGACTAAGTTTTTCTTTCTCTTGAAGTTAGTATGAGTTTATTGGTAGCATTGTAAGAGGTCCTATTTGCCATTTAAAAGTTCACATGAAAGGCAGAAGGATTATAGTTTCAGCATATTTTACTTTGTGAATGAAAAGTAGAGTTTTGTTATAGCTTCGTGATACCATTATAAAATTCTATGTGGTGGTGTTTGATCCAGCACAGATTTGCTAGAGTGGAATAGAGAGAGGCTTTGCTTGTTTCTTCTTTGTTCCTTCAAGCATCTCCCAATCTCCCCCACAAACTAGGATACTTTAATATAACAGGAAAACCTATTTGGGGATCTCTAGGAGAAATATGATCCCTTCCTTGTTCTGCTGTAACCTCTGTAATTATGATACTTTTCAATGTAAGGCCAACTCTAATATCCTTTTCTCCACTTTTCCAGATCATGATTCCCTTTCTTTTGGAATCGAAATACAAGAATCTCCTCCCTCTTTTTGTGGAACGCAACCTTCTACTTGTCAGTATGGAAACAAAGGCTCGAGAAACACTTCAAATCCTGAAGCGTGTGCCACAGATTAATATGTTAGGTAAGGGATGAGTTCTGCAGAGATAATGGATGCTTCATTTTTTTTACTGAGAGGTCTTAAAACTTCTTTTTGATTAACAAAAAGATTAGCAATCAATAGTGGGGTAGGTAGGATAAGCACCATTCTAGACATTTCTCATATTTGTGGAATTTAACTCTCAGAGTTTTCACCAATGTTTGCAATGTAGGTGTCTGGAAGTATCCAAGGTGGAGAAAGTTCCTATGATCGAGTTAGATAATTAACTGGAAAAGAAGCTGTGAAAGAGGCAGATTAGTTAAGTCGAAGTACCTGGAAGAGGCATGATTTACAACTTATTTTATAGCTGTAGGACAGGGTTTTTTAAAAAAAAAATTAGGTGGTGAAAGCTGCTTATTAAAAAAAATCATTAGAACTCCTGATTTGGAAGGATGGGGGTTGTTGAGAAACCCTACCTTTTCTTGTGCATCTTAATGACTAAGGGGAAAATAAGTTGTCCACAAGGGACTAAGCCTCTTCCCCTCTCCCCTTAGTTTCAAAGAGAAAGTTGAATGCAAGAGACCAAGGCAGAGGTGGTATTCAGCAGGTTCTGACAAGTAGCAGAAATTTTGAGTAATTTGGAGAACTGGCAAATACCAGCCCTGACTGGAGATTTTGCAGTATCCTTCCCCTGCCATGCCCACCAAGCCACGCCCACAGAACCAGTAGTAAAAAAATTTGAATCCCACCACTGGACCAAGGCTGAAATTTTTTTCTTTGTTCTCTGTAATTTCCACAAGGAATTAGGGGGAAAATATTCATTCCTTACTTACAGAGTTCCCCCCTGTAGAACTAAGGTTCCAATGGAACTTTTCAAGTATTTCTATTTGAAAACTAATAGAATGCCTTTTTACTACTGAGTACGTGGATTTATATAGTGCTATGCAGTGGAAAAATAATTGCATATTTTAGGCAAATGTGATTGTGTGACCATTATTTATTTAATATGTTACTAGACTATTTTTTAGGTAAAACTTTTGGTGTGTTCTGTTGTCTTCTGGTCACATTCAGTCACCACCTTAGTCTGTCTGTCTATAATTCTGCATCTCCATTTGGAAATAAAATGTTAAATTTAAATTCTACAATTTGTAAAGCAAACAGACTTCTGTGATCTCTTGTGTCATCCTTTCAGAGATACTTCCTTACCAGATTTTTCAATTTCTTCAACCCTGACAGTTTGCCATGAGAAGTTGTGGGTGCTTCATCACTTAAGGTTTTTAAGAAGAGACTGGACACTTGTCTGACATAGTACAGGGTCTCCTGTTTGAGCAGGGAGTTGGACTAGAAGACCTGTAAGGTCCTTTCCAGCTCTATTTTGATTGATTGATTGATTGATTGATTGATTGATTGATTGATTGATTGATTGATTGATTGACAGAGCTGCTAATGTACTGCCTTCACTGGAAAAGTTGAGACACATTCTGCATCTGCCTTGAAGATAGCCCATGTTGAATTTTATGGTACAGTGAAACCAGGGATGGGATTCAAATTTTTTAACAACCGGTTCTGTGGATGTGGCTTGGTAGTCATGTGACTGGCTGGGTGTGGCCAACTCAACATCACTCACATCGAGGCCCGCCTGGCCTCTCATGACTGTGGAGATGCTGCAACAGTTGTAAGTGTGAAAAACAGTCATAAGTCACTTTTTTCAGTGCCCTTGTAACTTTGAATGGTCACTCCACACGAGCAAAGTACCAGCAAAGGAGGAAAAAAAACTCCAGAGAAGTTCCTGAGATAGGAAGTCCAGTCCTGCCAAGAATGTAATAAGGGTTAATGGAGAGGCAGTTTCTGTAAGCAATACCAGAATGTTTCCTTCCTGCCTTCCTTACAGGATTAGGCCAGTAATTTCTTCTAACAACCGGTTCTCCAACCTGCTTGGAATGTTAACCGGTTCTAGCGAATAGGTGCGAACCTGTAGAATCCCACCCCTGACTGAAACATCAGCAGAGGAAATGTTTTACGATATTTTATATTTTGTCATAAATAGTTTTATAACGCTTACCTGAAAAATGTCTTATAAAATTTGAATTCCACGGGAGTCATGGATCCTGGATTTTGGACATTTTTGTAAGTTAGACCATTTAAAGTACCTTGGTTCAAAACATTTTGCCCTGTAGTGTTCTGTTTTGCCCAGTTAACGGTTACATGAAAGAGAATTTTAGTAATATATAGATATCTATCCTAACTAGAATGTTTTTGTTTCATTTTTTTTCAGGAGCTTGCATCGATAATGTCATCCTAAGCAAACAAGGCTTTGTAAATTATGCTAAGCTGCCATCTATAGTAACTGCCCAGGGAGAAACTGCAGGTGTATTCTCACTCATGACATCTCACACTAGCAGACTTCTGCAGCGTGGTTCTGTTCATCTCAGTTCGTTGCTGGACCAATATGTTCAACAGGAAAATGAAAAAGTTGAAGGAAAAGCAGATAGGAACATCAGCTAAACTGCGAGCAATTTAATTCTTCAGTGTAAAATTGTCATTTTTTTTGTTGCATGCCATGGGTTAGTGGGAGGGGTTAATTAGTATGATTGACCACGTGGAGAAAAATGCTGCAGAACAAGACTATAAACAAGGAATCTTATTAACTATTTGCTTATTTAATACTACATGTTTATAAAATTTTATTGTATGTGGAGGACCATAGGTGTTATTTAAATCACATATGTTCAGGTGCGGTACATAGTTTAAATATGAATACAATTTTATTAATTTGCATAATTTCTGGTTTAGGTTGGGCAAGAAACAATCTTTAATAGGAACTTATGTATTTATTTTAGACTGTTTATATATCATAACTTATCAAAATAGATTGGTTGATAAAGTTAAGTTTTAAGAACTTGGATTAACAACAAAATAAAAATGAACTTCCAAGAGATCCAAAATGAAACCATATTGAAACCATGTAAAAAACAACAAACTATTTACTCTGGCACCAAACAGCATATACCATATTTGCCAGCGTATAAGACGACTTTTTTGCCCTGAAAAACATGCCTCCAAGTGGGGGGGTCGTCTTATACGCCGGGAGGACTCCGACTCCCACTTCGAGCTTGAGTTGCAGCCGGGAGGGAGGCTGGGGGGGGAGCGGTGTGTGTGTGTGTGTGTGTGTGTGTGTGTGTGTGTGGCGGGTGTCACTCGCCACGCGCTGCGCAACCTTTCCCCCTCTTCCTTCCTTAGCGGTGTGGGGAGGAGAGGATTCGAAGATCCTCACGTGCGGCATACTTTTCTTTTTTTCTTTTTGCACGCAGGTTTTGCATGCGGGCGGCTGTAGGTTAAGGATGGGGGAGCCCCCGGGTGGGTTATCAGGTTTTACGGTGCTTCCAACATGTGCGAACGGTGGGAGAGCGGAGAAGAGAGCGAGCGAGCGCCCCGCTGTGTGAAATCCTGCCGTCAAAGCAACACTGGGGGAGGCAGGGTATAAATTTACCAGGTTAATGTAGCAATGGTGATTAATGCCCAGAACATTGTTTGCGGGTATTGGGGTGTGTGTGTGTGTGTGGTGGTGGTGAGGAGAGGTTGTCCTTTGAATGCGGAAAAGTAGGTGTGACCTTGTGTAGGAAAATAAAGAGATCCTTTTTAGCGTGTTTGGCTTCTTTGCCTCCCCTCGTTCGTTTTGACGTGGAGATAATGGCCTTCGGGCGGGAGGGGAAGAAAACGGTAGCTGGATCATTTCAAATTTCACTTACTCTCCTGCCTCACTTCAATATGTCTGAGCGACTCCAGATACTGGAAGACTTTTTGAATGAAAGTGTTACCTCCATATTTTTTTTTAAAGAGGGCCACTTGGGGAAAAAAAAAAGATTCTAAGGAATTCCTTGTTTCTTGATTAAAGAGAAGGCATTGAATATACTGTTCCTTGGCAGCCTTTTCAGTGTCCGGGTTTTTGGTGTGTGTGTGTGTGTGTGAGAGAGAGAGAGAGAGAGAGAGAGAGAGAGAGAGAGAGAGATCAGCTGTATTGAGAAGAGAACGTTTCCTGTGTTCTCATTTTATTTACAACATATTTTACGCTTAATGGTAAGCAATGAAAAATATTTTTAAAACTCATTTCTAAACTCCATAGCTATTTGCATATTCTTGGTTCAAAATTGGATTAGCTCATTTCAAAATTGTCCAAAGCAGAAAAGTGCGTCAAAAAAAAAAAAAAAAGTGCAAAAGTGGAAGGTGTATGGAAGAGGGGGTAGTCTTATACGGCGAGTATATAACAAACTCTATATTTTGAGTGGAAATGTTGGGGGGTCGTCTTATACGCCCAGTCGTCTTATACGCCGGCAAATACGGTAATTTTTATCAGTGTTTAAGAAACTAGGATGAATAATTGATTGATTTATTCTGTTAGGCCAACCAGCTGTTCTTGAAAGAACGGGTGTCTTTTCCACTTGGTCCACTATTAATATGATAAATGAATAGAAATTGCAACAGTTTTAATGAGAACTAGGTTGTTTTGTATCACTTTCAGAGTTCAGTTATCTGGATGGGGATTCTAATCATTAGGTTCAATTAAATTGTACAATGTAATTAGCATTAGAAAATAGACTTAGAAAAAAATAATTTTAAAAGTTGAAATAGATTGCTGAATGAAAACCTTTTTGACATGAACATCTTGAATATATAAGAAAGAACATAGAAAAAAGATACATAGTACAAAATGTGTTTGGAAATTATTCAGGATTTCATTGCTTTTCACCTTTTAAATGTGCTTATGTATGATAAATGTTCTTATCTGATTAAATAACTATTAAAATGCTATAGAAATGTAGATTCGTAGTAGTTGTATTTAGTGGGTTTTACCTTAAATTAAGCATGTATAATTATTCGAGTCTTAACTAGGAAAATATGCTTCTTTGCAAAATACTAACCATCTCATTCTTTGCCATCCCTTTCTTTTGCCTTCAAATCTTTCCCAACATTAGGGTAATTTCCAATTAATTCTATTTTCTCATTTGACAGCCCAAGTATTTCAGCTTCAGTATCTCTTCTTCCAAAGAATAATCAGGGTTGATTTCTTTTATGTTGACTGATTTGATCTTGCAGTCAAAGGGATTCTCAAAAGTGTTCTCCAATGCCACAATTTGAAAACATCCATTCTTCAGCTCTCAGCTTTCCTTATGGTCCAAACCTCTCACAGCTATACATTTCTCCTAGGAAAACCATGGTTTGGAAAATTAAAAACTATACAGACCTTTGTCAGCAAGTTTATAATCTCTGCATTTGACATGGTGTTTGCAATAGCTTTCCTCCCAAGGAGCATATCTTAATTTCGTGGCTGCAGTCACCATCTGCAGTGATCTTAGAGCCCAAGAATAATGAAATCTGTTACTGCTTCCATTTCTTCCCCCTTCAATTTGCCAGGTAATGGTGGATGCCATAATCTTAGTTTTTTTTAATTTTGAGTTTCAAGCCAACTTTCACCCTCATCAAGAGGCTCTTTATTTCCTCTTCACTTTCTGCCATTAGAATGATATTGTCTGCATATCTGAGGTTGTTGATATTTCTTCCAGCAATCTTAATTCCAGCTTGTGATTCATCCAACCCAACATTTTGCATGATATACTCTGCATATAAATTAAATAAGCAGGGTGACAATATAGCCTTGTCATACTACTTTCCCTATTTTGAACCAATCAGTTATTCCATGTCTGGTTCTAACTTGCTTCTTGACTCACATACACAATTCTCAGGAGATAGGTAAGATGGCCTGGTACTCTGATCTCTAAGAACCTGCCACAATTCGTTGTGATCTACACAATAAATGCTTGAGCATAGTCATGAAGACAGAAGTAGATGTTTTTCTGGAACTTCTTTGCTTTCTCCATAATCCAGTGAATGTTGGCAATTTGATCTCTAGTTCGTCTCCCTCTGAAATTCAGATAGTACTTCTAATAGTTTTTGGTTCACATATTGCTATAGCTTACCCTGTAGGATTTTGACCTTGCTAGCATGTGAAATGAGTGTAACTTCGATAATTTTGAACATTGTCTTTGTCCTTCTAACCCTGTAGCCATTCTTGAGTTTTCTAAATTTGCTGGCATAGCACTTTAACAGCATCAACCGTTAAGATTTTATATAGTTGAGCTGAAATATCGTCACCTCTGCTAGCTTTGTTGTTGGTAATGCTTCCTAAGGTCCACTAGAATTCACACTCCAGGATGTCTTACTCGAGGTCAAGAATCATATTATGGTAATCAGGGATATTAAGATCATCATTATCACGTATCTATATTGTGTTCCTTAGTTATTGTTTATTATTTTACTTCTGTTTACACTTTCATTTTTGTAAAGCAGCCTAGAATAAGTCCATGATGAGATAGGTGGCAAATCAATTTAACAAGAAAGAAGTAGTTACAAACCTGATGCAATCACTTCTGCAGGTTAAACTGTCAATTAAAAAAAAAAAAAACCTTGTCTCTCAGTTACATAATAAGATGAGGGAAAGGAAGTATGACATTTGGAATATTTTCCCCCTTAAAATAATTCTGCTTTGGGTTACATGACCAGTAGGGAACTGGGAGGATGAGTCATATTGTAGCCCCCCTTTCTGAACCAATATTTTTTGGCTTAGATTAAAGCAGTTGCAAGGTTTTTTCTTCTTCTAGCCTGTAGCTGGATTCAGTCTTTTTTGAACCTGAACTTTATTTTGACAATTTCTGTTGCAATGGAAAATTTGGTTCCATTTTTTCTCTTTTTTAATAAAAATAAAGTTATTTTATTTATAATTAATTAATTATATAAAATAATGACATTAAAACTCTTATCTCCGCTGTAAAAATCTGGCTTAATTTTTATTTATTGTTCAATTTATATGCTGACTATCTTGCCAAGGAGCTACTCTACATAGCTTTCAATAATAAAAAGGAAGAAATGAAAAGAGTGTAAAGAAAACAAGTAAAACAACAGAACTGTAAAATAAACAATGAAAAAGAACAACAGGAATACATCATTTTTTTCTTTTTATGACTTTAATCTCTTGTTTCTGGGTGGAGTCAAGGCAACTGAGAGGAGCTGAGCATTTGTTGGCCAGATGCCCTTCCTGATCCTACCCAGAGTTCGCAGCAGATATTTTCTCTTTATACCCTGATGGAGAAACAACAAAAAGATGGGTAGATGGAGAGCACAGGGCAAGGGAGAGGTGGAGTATGACATAAATCCAGCAGCCACTTCCAACATGAACTCCTCCATTTGTCCCAGAGATAGCTGGCAGAGGGTGGGAACAGATCTTGCCTTAGAGCACAGGTGTCATACTTGCAGTGTCACATTGCCGTCATTTGATTTATTGCAACGTTTTTCCCCTTCCGCAGAGCTGGGTGGGCATAGTGTGTACGTGACTCATCCGGCCCATGGGCCGCCAGTTTGACACCCCTGCCTTAGAGGGTAAGATGTTCCAAAAGGCAGACATAACAGCAAAGATGGCTCTTCTGGATCCCAATAGTTGGAGTTCTTTGACCAACGGGGTCTGCAATAGGCCCTCTCTGCCAGCACAAATAGGACAGACTTGTCCTAGCAGGGACAAGCCAGTTCATCAAGTGCCTGGATCTATGCCATTGAGGGTTTTAAAGGTCATAACTCACACCTTGAACTGTATTTGGAAGCAGACTGGTAGCCAGAGAATAATAATAATATTCATATATATTTGCTCCTTTGCCCTCTGCTCTCCAACTATCCATCTTAGGGTCCTCACTGCTCTCACTGCCACATTTGTACCAGCTGAAGCTTCCAGATAGAATTCAAGGATAGTCCCATGTAGAGCTGTTGAATTATTCCAGATGAGAGATGACTAAGGCTTGAGTAATGATCAATGAAAGTTCACAGATGGTACACAAATGAGAGATGTGCAAAAGTTCTACTCAAACTTGCCACCTGCTCTTCAAACAGGGGACATAGTTCATGAAAACTCCTAAGTTGCAAACTGGGTCTGAATGAGGTAGTATAGAAATACCCAGAAC